AGGTATTTTTGATTTTTCCAAAAAACAACTAAGTATTTTTCTTTTTTCCTACGAATGAAGCTAGCGGTGAATAAGATTCGCTTCTGTTTCAGTTATTAAAAAATTCCTTTGTTTAAACTGGCCCCAGAGAAGTTATGTTGAGATTGATTAAATGTTTAAATTATTTATTTCGATAAAATTGCTTCCATAGTAGCTATATTCTAAATTTGAAACCGTTCACTATTCTGAGATTTAAACCAAAATAATTAATTAAAGTATTTACATTTTCCACACAACTCTAAAGGTAAGTTAATATAAGCAAACTTTTACAATATTGTTACTGTATGAACTAAATAAGTTGACTTGAAATTTTGGTACCTCGGCAGTAAAAAGTGGGTAAAATATTACATTATCGTACGATCTCTCTCATTTCTGTTCACACTGAAAATAAAGAAACTTTTATAATGTACATTATCCAACCGAAAAACACGTAACACCTGTACAGTTACGTTGATGGTTGTACCTGCCAAAATGTCTGTATAGGTATGCAGTATATTTACTTACTTAATCATGACCTTATCTTTCGCGTTCCTTAATTTTTGTTATTGTTACCTAAATATTTTCATGCAAAGCACTGGCGTAAATTAATTTAACGAGTATACATTTTCTTACATTTCTGGGTTATTTGATTTCGAAACTCGAAACTTTTGGCAATACTGAACGCAGGAATGTTTAATGGACCTCCGGCTTTGGTCGAAAAATATTGCCGAAATGCCAGAGTTGCGCATTGATGGTTTAAAAATAACGAGACGATCCAAACGAAAACACAATTTCATTGAATATCTGTTCTGTATTTTTTCTTGACACAGTTAGAAAAACAGAAGTAAAATATTAATTTATTATGTTTAATGTAAAGTAATTGTTGTATGTGAATTCGGGAATTTCTCAATAACTATGGAATCAAGTGTATTCGTTACAGTTTTTCGATAAAATCTCTATTATATTTGAGTTTTCGTAAAGCTAGTTTTAAGAGCCTTGGTAATGGTAAATACATATGCATATATGAATTTCAGAATAATATTCGATGACACTTGAAAAATCAGAGGAGAAAATTTATAAATTCAAAATAGGAAGGGTGACATTAGTTGGTCAACTACCCCAACTAACGAATCCACGTTTTTTTTTTTTTGGGAAAATTCTCATTGCAAAGGGAACATTAATTATTTATTAGACGTTGCAATAGTTAGCTAATACTAGAAAGTAGTATCAAACGAGAAAACAGACCCACAAATTTTTTACGGTAGGAAAAGACAACACAAACGAGACATAGAGAGATTGACCAACCACTCGTGAGTTTTATCAGGTTTATCGGGTGTTTTTGATAACTATGGTTGATTACGCTCTAAATCTATTTTGGCTTATCCAGTTTTGTCTGACGTATTTTTAATAGTTTCTGCTATTATTTGACAAAAGCATTTTGGTATATACGATAAGTATATTATTCTGTAACATTTTTTTTGTAAGTGCTATTCTCGAAACTTTTGCTAACTTGTGATAGTTATCAGCAGAAAATTCTATTCTATAAATGCGAACGACCGTTAAATCTCTTACTTTCTATTAAATATGTGATATTTGTGGTTAAAATCTTTACTCTCTCGTTTTTCAAAAATTATTTTCTAATCCACTCATTTTCGGACTAGACTGCAAAAATACCTACCAGTGCTTCCTAGAAAGAAATACAGTTTCACCTTTCGTTCTTTTATAGCGAATATTTTGACAAGAAATTAATAATAATGGTACCATTTGAAATTTAAAAACGGAAATTGGATTTAGTGGTACGGTTTTTATTCCAGAATTTATTTTTGCGGTCTGGCGACTTGATACTATTCATTTTCTTTTACTTTCACCTGTTCTTGGGCATTCTTGAAATATTATTAACTGAAACAATTCTTTAGAAATTCATACAATACATTAAAGGTCATTAACACAAACGTTTTATTTGATGGATCGTGCAGCAAAAATTGGCGATACCATGAAATGAGATTAAACGCGTTTGTACGTGCTGCACCAAACATACGAGGGTGGATTGATAAGTTTCCGGCCTAACCAAGAGATGACGCCACTAGGCCTACCTTGAGGTGACATTCTATAGTACCATCCTTGNGTGCAGCAAAAATGGGCGATACCATGAAATGAGATTAAACGCGTTTGTACGTGCTGCACCAAACATAGCACACGTTTTAGAAATTGTGGTCTTAATGTTTTCGTTTTTGATGACTGATTGAGGATGCGGTTGATACGTTCTTTATTTTTAAAAGAAAACGTGTATGTCTGTCTTGATTGAATACATCTGAAACTATCAAACGTATCAACTGCCAATATGTACGTTGTACATGTGTACTTAACATTAGTATGATTAAAAAGAACATCAAACGCATTGCTAATGTTAATTTTTATTAGATTATAAACAGAGTGCTTTTGGGCGTTTCAGTCAGTAAACGATACCAATGTAAGGTCGTCCAATTCTTTAATTATTTTTTTCCGTTATTTGAAAAATGTTCTCTTCATCCTGTACATAGGATTTAGTAGTGACGAAAATTGCTTCCCTTTTTTATTTTAAAAGGAAAAACGGTAGGGTAAAGACAATTCTACACTTTTCAGTGGAATTATAAATAATTCATCATCATAAGGTCGTCAGTCCTAAGACTGGTTGGATACGTGTCTTCACTCTTTCCTATCCTGAGCTAATCTTCGATTAATGTAAGGATGTTAACATCCTTAATTCATATATATATATATCATCATCATCATTATCATTATAAAGTCGTCAGTCCTAAGACAGGTTGGATACGTGTCTTCACTCTTTCCTATCCTGAGCTAATCTTCGCATTTCCTTAAAACTAGAACAACCCACATCCTTAACTATTTGCGAACTGTAATCTAATCCAGAGCCGGGCAAACTTTAACTTCGCAGGAGCCGGTACATGAGTTTAGTTTGAGTCACTCCATACTCTTCAATGAGTACGAGAGAGTAAGCAGTAATGAATAATTTTGTTTTGTCTTTTTCTTCTCCCTTCCACTCCCATATCAAGCCCCTTCATCCCGTAGGCGAGCGAAGCCAGTTGGTTAACCTTGAGGATCACTCGGGATGCAAAAGATCCGAGTTTGCCCGGCTCTGATCTAATCTAGGTCTACCTCTGCTCCTTCTAACTCCCGTTTCTGCCTCTAATATGTTTCTGACTAGACCTTCATGCCTGAGAAGGAGTCCTATAAATAATTAGGAAAGGGAAAATTGCAATGTTATATTATTCGTAAACGATTCACAATGTATCGCAATTAAAATAATGTTGGTTGTATCTAAGATGAAATAAAAGCACAGTGAGATTTGATACTTCTGGGCTAATTCATGCTACTTGTAGATGTTATCGTATATTGGAAAGTGCAATTAAGGAATTACTATCGCTATAAAGATAAAATAAAATTTAAGACTGGTATTTGTCTGCTTCCTCGGTGTTTAGACGCCACCCAGATCGACAACTAAGATACGTTGAGCACAAGTGAACCTCTCTTTTATCTTTACATCTGTTTACTTTTAACGAAAGAAGACGATTTTAAAAGTTCAGTCACTTGCCTCTCTACCAGAAATTAAGTGATGCATTCTGCATTCTAATTCGTACTGTTTTCTATGTTAATCCGAATAGCAATGTTGTAACTTATGCAAATTTTAAAAGCGTCCAATTAGAACACAGCCGGATTTTTAATTAAATATTTCATTTTGAGAGAAGATTGTTAAAATGTGCGTGAACTTGAGAAGAAAATTATCCGATTTGTCATGGTTTAGGAAAATCGATTACACTCAATTTTGTAATTGAAATTGTAAGTGAAAACTTCTTAAAATTAATTTGGTAAGTGGATTACTTTGTGGATAGTTATTGTTATTATTCTAAAGATTAAATGGAAGGATGAAAATTATTTTTTTTTTATATTTATGATTAGTGTAATTTTCAAATCCAAATCAAAACCTTTGTTGGTCTCCTGAAAAAGTGAAAGAAAAAGAAATTAAAAAACGGGCTATTTTGCTATTTAGGTTTGTTTTTAAAAAAACACCCTGTATATTTGAGTATCCTATTATACAAACATGAAATATATAAAACAACTAAAGTTGACTTTAGCCCATCATTTTGTTCATTAGCCCATCACCACCCTCAATTTTAACTATCTTTATATAAAATACAACAAACGAATAAAAGATTAATGATGTTTAACTGTCCCTTCTTCATTTTATTGTCGACAAAATAAAACATATGAATTTATGGAATGGAAAAGTAATGGAATTGGGAAAGTAGGAGGTGTAGCAGGATATTTTAGTATTTAGGTTGAAGTCACCACTGTTAGATTTTGGGTCACAGTCACAAGCAGTTTGTTCAACGCTAAAATTAAGTGAGTAATCGATTAAAATGTGTACAAATTCTTTGTGTCACACTTTCGAAAAGAGTTCGTTCTTCCATTCAGGAAGACACGTTTGCTTATTGCTTTGTTCGCGTTAACCCAAATCTCCACGTTCTGGATTTACTTCCTGAGCCCACTGCGATACACGTTCTGAAACCATTTAACGACTGTGCCCCACATGTGCGTAACGTACTTGATGATGTATCTCGTTTATCCTAAAAGAACGTAAAACTGTATGCATCCACTAACTGTGTGCCATTTGTTTCGAAATGGGTGACATTTACGATAAACTCCTTGAAAACCTTGCGGTTGCAATGAGGATATTGCACAATTGTGAAAAGGTAAAGAGATAAAATTAAATATCTTAAAATAAGTGAATCATCTTGTGCCTAAGTTATGTAAATGCATTTTTGTTTTAAAGGTTTACGAATAACGCTACTTTTTTTTGAGACATAATATGCATTTCCTTTTTTGTTTTTTATTTTTAATTTCAATATTTTTTTTTATGTGTTTCGAAGATGGCATTGTTTTATCTAAAATTAAAATAACTAGAATTTTTTATTGTGTTTCAGACTGTGAGCAACCAAAGAAGACCCTGGTCCTCATATTCGGACATCAGAACGTACCACCCTGAGAAAACCTTATTGCATGGAACTCAAAATATGAACGGTAATATGTATTCACCATTAATGGCTCGTCGCCCAGCTGGCACTGGCTATGACTTTCCGGAGAAGGAAGTCAAAAAAGATAAAAAATGGTCTTTCGGAAACATATTTCGCAGAAAGAAAAAAAACCTTAGCGAGAGCAGCAGCGATGACGAAAATAACAAAATGAGTTTCTTACAGCGGAGGAAAAAAAAGAGTGCTGCAAGGAAAAAGTCTAAACAAGCACTGGGAACGTTTGACCATGTTGTCATACCTCAATTTTCAAGGGGTACGTACAATACCCTCTACCGTAACAACGACGATCCGACTGCTGTTTTTTCTGATCCTACACATGATGCTGCAAATCGAGCAAGTAATTTTAACACGAGATCCAGCAATTCACCGAGTCAATATTTAAATGTTAACTGTCCGGGATCAGATCGAAGCGATGTTAACGTTTCGCGCAACAGTTTAGCTTCAGTTGATAGTATCTCGAAGAAAAATCGGAAAGAAATGACCAAGGCAAGGGCAGAAGCCAGACGTGAAACTTTAAAATACGAAAGCAGCTCAGATGAAGAGTCTCAAAGGTCAGGTTCATCGGCAGCGAAATTTAGAAGTGACGAAAGTTTATCTAAGTACGGTTCATGGAGTCGACGAACGCGAGGCGCAAGAACGGAAAGGTATTTGAGGCGATTCTCCAAAGATGAAGACTTTCGAGATCCAAAACAATTATACAAAACCGAAATAGAGAACGGAAGACTTAAAATGCGATCGCCGTCCAAAAACGTAACGGCTAACCAGCCCTACTTAACAAGTTACACCGCTTTTGATCCTTCAGGGATGCTAACTATACCTCCAAGTCATAATACTAGTAAGAGAAACCGCAACTTCACCGTAACCACGTGCTGTTTTGATAACGGCTTCTTCCCTGAAACCAAACCAACGACAAATGCAAACCAAAGAAGCATGTCCTACGAAAGTCATATTGATCAACGATTACCGATCGATGTAGTCCATGGTAGATTACCGCTAGGTATTCCTACTTGCCAAAACGGAAAAACACCTCCATTACCTCCTCCGCGTGATCCCAGAAGAATAGTAACCATCACCTCGTTTGACAGTTCACGTCCCAGCTCTTATTGCTTGGAAACAGCTACTGATTGTAGGAATGGACTTGCCAGAAACCGAAGTCCGTTAGTAATGAGTGACAAACGAATTAGAAATGCAAGCGATATTACTGGAATGTATTACAGTAATGTTCGTTCAACTTCAGAAGACCAAATACCAGCCGAACCTATTATTCATTCTTTAACAGTTCGACCGGCCTCGACAACTCCAGACATGAATGGTAAATGTCATCAAAAGGATCATAATGATTTTTCGTTATTCTTAACAGATTCGAAGCCAAGAAGCCGAAAACCGTTGAATATACATTCATTCGCTAGAACTGAAAATAATAATAATATAAACAATCTACAAAATGGAAGAAGTAAAGCTTATCAAACTTTCAATTTTTGGAGACAGAAAGAAGATGAGGTGAAACGTCATAAATCAGAACCAATAACGAAAATCCTTCCAAAGAGTCCGATCCTTAGTAATAAGCTAAACGTTGCCGAAGAAAGTAAAAATGACGTACCCCAAAGTGCTTTATTAGTTAGCGCAATCACCAAGAGTCCAGTGGAACGAATAAGAGGTTTACCTAGGGAACCCAGTCCTTTTAGACCAATCTCTCCTGCACCAAAGATACCTCTTGGTAGTTTAAATAGGAGCAAGTCTGTTTCGCCAGGATTACATATTCCATCCGAATCATTTAGCGATAAAAGCCTATCACCAAATATAAATTCCAAAAAGCCGGAGAATTTGGAAGACGCTCTTAACGAACTGGAAGAAATTTACAATAGTTTACGTTTAGGCGATGAGGATCTTCTAGATAGAGCTGAAAAACGTGAAAGAGATATATGTAAGGAGGCTGCTACTAATTTGATGAATGGAAACAGCAAACGAAAGAGAGTTTCTTCAAGAAGTGCAGATATCAAGGAAGATGATTTAGCTTTTCGAAAATACAGTAAGGAAAGATCAAAAACTATAGGTGACCCCCATTCGGTTGCTTCTTCAATCAGTTATTTATTGGCATCTCCACTGAGTGGTGAATTTTTAGACAGGCCCGAACCTAAACAAAAGAATAAAAAAGAACCAGACGTAACTTTCGATGATTTGGTTTATCGAAACATTAAACAAACGAATAACTCTTTAAAAGTAATAGATCCGCAACCTCCATTCGGAATTCCATTAGGACCTATTAGTAGCGCCCCAAACAGCGACTACTTACATGCCGATCCGGAAGTCGGAAGGAAAGAGAAAATATCTAAAAAGATTCCCGACATTGTTAAAGACGACTTGGCTTATCGATCTCTTCGCAAAGATCCCAACAAGGAACCAGCTCTTCCACCTTCGTCTCCTATTGGAGACGCAAACAATAATAAAATGTTCTTTGTTCCAGTACCGAAATACAATCCTAACGGATCGTTTAAGAAAAAGAGAGCAGTTCGATCACTGTCGGCTAATATATTTAATTTAATGCAAAAAGAACATGACGATAGAGTCAAAAATGAACTCGAAATAGCCAAAAGCTTAACCGAAATTGCTGACGCCATGGAACAGACTAGGCTAATGCTCAAAGAGCAGGACAAAAGTATATCTGAAACAAGAAAAGGATTTGCAAGTGATGGAGAAGCATTATACGCATCTCAACATTCACCTAAGTTGGAAGCCATGAAAAGAAATAGAGCTAACTTCTTAGACGAGATGAAATCGTTTGAATTTCCTATGCTGCCTTCTAATTCATTAGATAACAAAATAAACAACAACGAGAGCAGTAACCCTGAGCAAGTAAATTCAACCTCAAAGACTCTCGATGAACTTCTTACTGCACTCGCAGTCGAAACTAGAGAGACTAGCGATAGAATAACAAATGAGCTGCGTATGCTTGATGAAAAGGACATTTTGAGAAAGTCGTCTCAGTCTTTGAAAAGTCACGAATCCGAAAGTAGCGATAAAAACCAAAACGTTTTTGAAAAGACAAGTCAATCAGATGAATTGCTTGCTTCAAAAACTACAGTCGATAGTAACGCAAACGAAACAGTATCCAAAGCCCCAATCAGTTCAAATGACAATTTTGCGAGCGATATTCCAGCGGTTGTAGAAGAAATGTATACTCCTAAGAACCAAATTCAAACTGAAAGAGAAGATGAAATACCTGTTGAGCTTATAACAATGAGTCTAGCGGACGATTCGAATGACAAAGCAGATCATGCAAAAATGTGTCAGAAATTAATGGAATGCGTGGTCGAAAATGCCGAAATTGTTAGCGATGAGATTGAATCAGATCATGTCCAACAAATACTTTTACAAGACACTGAAGAGTTATGTGGGGAAGGAACGGTCGCCAGTATCGTACTGACTCCAAAGGAAGAAGACGCTCTGATGGTAAAATCAGATCCAATTGAAGCTGAAGTGCATAGCGAGCCCGATTATGAAAATTTAAAGTATCGCGATGAAGACGAAAATGACGGTAACAGTAACCAAAATTCCGACTACGATGATTGTGATGTAAAACTGGACGATTTGAACGAAAACGTTGAAGCGAGCGATGCAGATAACGAAAGTAAAGAAGATTTTTCAGACGGTGACGTTGAAGTTGCTTTAAAAGATGTGGACAAAGGTGAGATAACTGCTTTGATGTGCGCTGCTTACAGTAACCTAGATAGCATTATAGGTCCTCCTGCTAGATCTTTGGTTTGTGTTGAATATGCTGTAACCCCGACTAACGAGCTTACAACCGAAACGAACCATTTATCATTTCATGAACGCACAAAGACATCATCGACTGCCGACGTTCAGAGAAGCATTTCCTTAGATCATTCATTAGAAAATTTAATTTCTCCAAATTTAGTTAAGGCAGCTAGCGCTACCTGTTTTTCACAATCGACCTCGCACTCGTGCTCCTTATTAAGCGGGGATACAAAAACAAAAATAGAAAACAGTCAAGATGGAAATATTAAACAGGGTAAATCATTAATTAAACATGACAGCACTGATAGTAACTTGCAGTCTGGTACTGCATGGTACAAACACACTGCAAATTTGGCCCTTGCATGTTCTTATGGCATTGCATGTACATATCACTTTACTTCACTGGATGTCGCTGCACTTTGTTTATTTATAATAACGGCGTCGATTATTATTTCGCTACTCAATAAGTGAACATTTGACAGGTACATCTCATTAACTATTTTTATTAGTGATAATTAGTATTGCAAGTAATGCGTTTAGATTTTTTGTAAGCTAAAATAAGGAATATTGACTGCTAGTATGTATTTTGGGAATGTATCGTCAAAATTGTCATTTATATTTTTTTTATTGAAAATTTTTGTTTCAGTTTTTGTATTTGTTTTGAAGCACATAAATATAATTATCTTACCAGATTCAGTTGTATTTCCTCTTAAATTTTATTTGTTTAAATTTAATCTTGAAAGAAAGATTATTTCTCTTGATTAATATTTAAATACAAACGAGGTATTGTTGGTGATATATATATATATATATAATACAACAAAATACAACAGCCGCCGCTTTTTAGTGTGATTAATGATTTTATTTTTATAAAATTATATCCCTATTTTAATATAAATTTGGTATCTATTATCTTTTGTGTTGCTACATTTTAACTTTTGTTTTTGTTTTAATAAAATTAACATTTGATATTGCATCGAATTTGTTTAATAATTTTTTTATTTGATAAATAAGTATTTGCTTAAATCTTATCTGTATCCGATTGTGCGCATCATTAATTACATATTTGTTCTACGAAGAAATACTTTTTGATTATTCTATATAATCAAATAAGTGCTAAATTGTGAAGTTGCTGCAACACATACTTCAATCAGTGAGTTCACTGTAAAAATCAAAAATTTCTACATTTTTATCTTCTTAGGGCGTTTATAATATATAAAATTAATGTGAAAATTCATTTAATTTTTATTTACTACAATAAATCTCAAAATAATGAGAAATTGTTGCTGGGTGTCCCTCCTTCGCCGGGAATCGAACCGAGGACCTTTCGCCACTGCTCCGAAAGATGACAGAAGCAATGACAATGAAACCTCATTAATTTGAGGAAATTTTTACTGCGTAAAAATTAAATAAATTTTTATATTAATATTAAATATATTAACCACTATTAAAAGTTTCTTGAAGTACCGTATTTCATATGTTTATGGTATATTTTTTAAATCGACACCGGCATGGTAGGGTATCTTGAAAAGGATTTGCACGTAATGGCGAAATATCGGTGTCGCTTTAAAAAATAGACTCCTTATCCCAATATTGGACTTCATCCTACATATCTAATATTTGTGGTTCATTAATTGGGAACAATTTGTTGTTTTAGAACTAAATACAAAAAAAAAACAAATACGTATTTGTGTCTATAAGTTTAATGATGATAGTTTTCTACGTTTGCAATATTACAGTTGAAAGTTATAATAATATGACCTCTCGTTATTACTAAATTAGCCAACTTTTCGAAATATTACGTTAAATTGATATAATGAAATTTTACGTTCAACTTATTCTATAGAAATGCTCTATTACTGGGTGGGAAACTTGCCTTGGGTTAACTTCGACAGCTGTTGTTATGGATGTTTTGCATAACTAGCTCCATCCTTACTATTAATCTTTCATCGCTAATCATTTATTTTTTGATATTTGTGGATATTTGAACCATCGCTTTCACACGCTCTTTTTGTACAGAAAACCAACAAAACTAAGTTTAATAAAGCGTTTTTTTATATATTCTACCATTAATTAATATGCGTGTGATGATGTTTTAATAGTTCGTTGTTAATTCAATATTTATAGCGTGCTAATTACAAATGATACATTTATTTTTTATAATTTTTTCCAAAGCTGGAACATTCCATACCTTAACTATTTGCTAAGAGTAATTTAATCGACATCTTCCTCTGTCTCTCTTGCCTCTTGTTTCTGCTTCTAATGTCTCCAACCGGTCCTTCATGCCTTAGAAAGGCTTCCTACCGTCCTGCCTCTCCTTTTTCTTATTGATTTCTATAGGAAAATGTCTTTCCAATTACTACGGTATTTTCATCATCCTTCAATAAATATATGTTTGCTTGTTTTCATCTCATATCTTTTACAATTTTTTGAAACATACTGACTCAGGTGTGTATTCACCCCCCTCTCGTTATTCGGATGAAGGTTTGCTGTTTTATACGAGGTGTTTAATAACAAATAATTTTTTTGTTACAAAATACAAATTTTTAAAATGAACAACTGCAGATGTAGGATAATAGTTAGCATAAAAAAATGCTTTTTAATATTTATTTCTTAAAATCACTGTCACGTATGAATTAGTTATATGCTTGCATAGTACCACTGTATGCCCAAATGTGTCTGTAAAATGTGACCTGTGACTTTTTTGCAACTTCTTATAGTATTTCTTGCACTAAGCATTGCCTTTATGATCAAGTGCAAAGTTTTGCATTGGTTCTAACAACTTTTCGTGCAGTAGAACATTTTTTGTTAGTGATGTTTTGTGTTTCGTTGTAGGTGTTGCATAATCGTCACCTCTTCCCCTTTGGTTGCTTTGGTGATCACCTACAGGTAAAATCACTATTCTTCCTACAACGATTAAGATGCAGTGAAGCGCAGTTCGTCCGTTTAATTCTTACTAATTAAAAAAATAACTGTAGTTTGTTCTGTAATGATCTAGTCAATGTATCGTGTTTACTATGTGTTATGCAAAACCTTTAAATAATCGCGACGATGAAGGTGTTGTATTCGAACCAACGAATTTCAAATAATATCCTATTGTTTTTATTAAAATATTGAAATAAAAGTTTGTTGTTTGATTAAATACATTTAAAACTTAAATTAAATACGTTTAATTTAATTACGTCTAATAAGGAGTCGTGAAAAGTTTTAAAAAATTAAGAGAACATTTCATTTAGTTTGAGCTTTACTTTCATTTTTTTTTAATATTATATATTTGTAAACGGAGAATGTTTTTGAAATTAATTTTTTAATTTCTTAAATTCTAACTAAATCTTTTAGTAACCAAGTTAAAATATCTGATATTCAACGACGCCTATTGTGTGTAAAACACAATTAGCTAGACCACAACTTCAATAAAAATGAGATAGAACAATTTTTTGAACATTATAGCGTTATAACATCCTTAAGTATTTTATTAAGGTGCTATAATTATATCGATTAAGAAAACTAGCTTAATATACGTTTACTGTGTTGGTTTTACATAAATATTTTATGCAACCTGAACAGCGAGAAGACATATTTCCACTTGCCAATCATGCTGAATAAATTAAACATTGTTTTATATTAACAGTCACGGAAATGTTTAGATGTCACTGCTTGGTTTTGTACCTTTAAATTTTTGTTACAGACATATGTAGATGTCACTACTTTGATTAATTAAAGTTTTTCATTGATTTAAGTTTAAGTTACATACAGATGGCATAATAGGTCCCATAACGTAAATATTTTAAGTTCAATTGATAAATTTTACGTATCGTTAGTTTTTTATCTCTTTATTTCTCTCGGTATACGTTAAATGATAACGAAATATTATTTTTCGAATATTTACGTATTTATCGCAATTTGCCTAAAATATATATTAAATTGTTTAGATATTGAGACCGTCGTGCGGTTGAGGGTTGTGGAGGGGGAGTGAATGAATTAGGGAGAGGTCTAAGGACTTCATCCCCATTGATTAAAATGAGGGCCATGAAGTGAAAGCGGGAAAGGTGGAGGCTAAAAATAAAAATGGTAAATATCTAGATGATGGGACCGTCGTTCGGACGGTGGTAGGAAGGATGATAGGGGTAGGGAAAAGTCAAAGGCGGGATAAGTGGAAGCTAAAAAATGAAAATTGTTATAGTTATACTTATTACCAAACACAAATTTCCCAATCCTTATATTAAATTTTAAGAAAAAACTATTTTTTACACCTACCCCTTGCGCCTTAACGTTGTTATTTCTAACTATCACTTCTTTCTTATGGTTGTTCAAGGTTTGTCCTACCCCCTCCAACCCTTCACCTTCACCGTTCGAGCTATCGTCATCATTATCTAGACATTTTCACTTTTAGTCTCTACTTGTAGAACATTATCTCAAATGTATGCTGTTGTTTTACGCTTTTAGACCCTAGAACTACCTCAGGATTAAATTGTAACATTTTGAAACTGTTTGATACTTGATAATTATTTCGAAAATTACAAAAAACTGTTGGGATTGTTAATAAAATTTTATTAAATGTACCATTACCGATACAAACCACTAGGCACCAACCTTATAGTCAAATTTAGACTCTTAATTTTTTGTTTTACTCAAAGGATACACCCCAAGACCTGTATAATTCCACTTTCGTTTAAAGTATGCATTATATTTCCACCTTTTAATCTAAAACTACTCGCCTTTCTTCTTTATTGCAATAAACCTTGCATAGGTGCAGTCAAGAGTTTCTTAATTATATCGAGCAACTATAGATATTTACTAACAAGTTTCAAGTAGATTGGTTCATTTAAATAATAATTAGTAATGCGGTCTATTTATTAGAACGAATGTGCAGCGGGCTTACGTACTTGTACATAACAACTTAGATAAAAGTGAAATCTTACATGCGAT